CAGTACAGGAATGGAAATGCCCTAGGGTTGCTGGTGCTACCAGTGGTTTCAGGACTTGCCCAGCCTGGGAAGGGTCTCATACAGCATCTTCTGGATCCTCACATAATGGGGTAGGGGATCCAGGAAGGCTGGATGAGAGGAGGGTGGGGGAGCCCAGCCAAGCTCGCAGGGTCTTGAGGGTCAGAGAACTCTGGAGCAATCCCTTGCTGAGCTCCAATTGAGGGAAAAACTGTGGGCAGTAGGGTCCTCCCCATGACGACACTGACCATCTCCTCCAGGCCTCTACCACACAAGGGGTGACCAAAGACAGAACTGTGCAAGGGGGACACGGGCAGGCTGGGAGCCTCGGAGAGAGGAGGTGGGAAGTGGCTACACCCCATCTTCACTGTCTTCTCATTCCCTTTGAGCATGGGAAGGGACGGATGCCCATCCGTTTCCTGATGCACTGTTCATTCATATTCATGTCTGCTGAGCGCTCACCATGAGTGAGGCGATGAGCAGGCCTGTGCCTTCCCCAGCAGCCAGGTCTCTTGGCCCCTCCATGTCCTGTGTTGGCCTTGCAGAGAGCATGCCCTGAATAACTACTCAAGTATCCGCTTGAGAGAGTGAATGAATGAATAAGCAAGTGAAGAAGCGAATGATGAAGGAACAGACAAATGGGCAGATGGTGAGTCCATGCTGCTTTGCTAGCCCCGAGGATAAGAGTATGTGTCCTGGGTGTGCAGGACTCTCCCATGGATCAGGAACACCCTTCTAACCCAAGCCAGTCCCCTCATGACATACTTGCTCTGTCTGGAAACAAACTACCCCTCACTTAATGCAACACAGTAACCCTTTCCCACCATGACCAAAGGGTCTTCAACATACTAGACCCTTCCTGGTAGCTCCTTTAATTTCAGTGAAAGCTCACCAAGCGCCCGCTATTTGCAGCCTGGGCTGGGGACACAGAGGTGCATGTTGGCTCCTGTTCCCAAGAGAGGGAGAGGCCTGAGCCCATCAGCGGGAAGAATGTCATTTCTGCCATGAAGGCCTCCAAGCTTCATGAGGATGGTGAGGCCCCAAGGGAAGGCCCTCCTGCTGTGTCCACACCCTCTCCCTTGAGCCCTCCATGCCCCTCATGTGACAGACCTGTGAGGAGACAGTACACTCCCATTTGGCAAGAGACCTGAGCCTCACAGACCCCTTGGAACCTCCTAAGCGCTGGACTAAGGGTCTCACAGAGCATTTCTCAGCCCAGGGAGCTGTGTAAGAGCACTGTGGGCATGAGAAGGAGCGTGCCACCTAGAAGGGGACCTGGCACCACCCTCTGCGGACCCCGCCAAAACCTGAGGGGGTTGGATAAAACCTGTGTCACATGACACAGGTCTGAAGCCACCCAGCCCTGTCCCGAGATCCGTGGCATGGACCACCCTGAGGACCACGGAGCACGGGGGTCACTCACCACGCGGCCGGGTCGTAATCAGCCCAGAGCCGGATGAACTCGTACAGGTGGTGAGGCCCTAGAATGGAAGAGTCCCGTGTAAGGTACTCAAAATTGTCCATGATCATGGCCACAAAGAGGTTCAACATCTGTAGGACAGGAAGGAGAAGGGGTGACGGAGAGACCTCAGCCCGCCCTCTACCCTTGCCCTTACCTTCCAACCAAAGTCTGTGCGAAACCATCATGGCAGCAGAGGCCACTCTGACTCAGCCAGAGCCCGTCCAGCCCTGCTCCCCCCGGCCTCTGGGCCTCCCCTGCACCACCACCACCACCAGCCCCGCAGCAGCCAGCCTCCTACCCCGGGGTTCTGGGTCCCGCAAACTAACCCAGGCCCCTCCCACTCCCTGCTTCTGCTGCCCTACCCTAATTCATGTTGGCACCCCTCCCGCCGACCTCCCATCACCACCCTCTTCCCCACCTAGCCAGCCTTCAAGGAAAACAGTGACTTTGGAGTTAGTAGTTTGGACTCCAGAGGCCAAAAGCTCAGCTTCTTTTTTGTTTAATTGAGTTGAAATTCACATAACATACATTTATTCATTTTGAAGAGTACAACTCGGTGGCTTTAGTGTATTCACAATATTATGCAACCACCTCTCTAGTTTCAAAAATTCTTTTTTTTTTAAATTTTATTTATTTGACAGAGAGAGACACAGCGAGAGAGGGAACACAAGCAGGGGGAGTGGGAGAGGGAGAAGCAGGCTTCCCGCGGAGCAGGGAGCCCGATGCGGGACTCGATCCCAGGACCCTGGGATCGTGACCTGAGCCGAAGGCAGACGCTTGACGACTGAGCCACTCAGGTGCCCCTCAAAAATTCTTTTTCAACCCAGAAAATGCCTCCTACTGTAAGCACTCACTTATTTTCCCTTTCTCCCTCTCCCTAGCAATCTCTGTTCTGCATCTATCGGCCTGTCTATTTCGGGTACTTCATATAAAAGGAATCCTACAATACAGGACCATATAGGGAATTTGTGCCTGACTTCTTTCACTTAGCATGATTTTTTGAGGCTCAGCCATTCATTTGGGTCAGAACTTCATTGCTTTTTAAGGCTGAATAATATTCCATGGTAGGTATATACA